CCCTGTGTTGGGCTCCACGCTGGGCATGGAGCCTACAAATAAATAAATACATACATACATACATAAAATTTTAAAAATTAAAAAAAAAATTTTAAAGAAATAATAAATGTATGACACTTAGCACAACTCCCGGCAGTCAGATATTTGCAAGTGGTGGTGGTGGTATTTCTAGAAGAGTGATTGGCACACTTCAGAGGCTATCATTATTGATTACTATATTTATCTGTTTTCCATATCCACATACTCCTTTACCTAATCAATTCTCTTACATGATCCCTGGGTTTATCCAGTGCTGGTGTTTGTATCCGTGATCATTTGCAAATTTTTGCAAATAACGTGAATGGAGAACAAGAAAATAAAATTCAATTGAAGCATGATAGACACAGGGATATATTCAAGCTGGTATCCATAAGTTGTTCCTGAGTGGGGGTGCCTGGGTGGCTCAGTCGGTTAGGCATCTGCCTTTGGCTCAGGTCATGATCCCAGGGTCCTGGGATCAAGCTCCACACCAGGTTCCTTGCTCAGCGGGGAGCCTGCTTCTCCCTCTCCCTCTGCCTGCCACTCCACCTGCTTGTGCTTTCTCTCTCCCTCTTTCTCTGTCAAATAAATAAATAAAATCTAAAAAAAAAAAAAAATTGTTCCTGGGTGATAGCCCTTCTTGGGCCTTAGCCAAATGGCCATCCAGACTGAAGATAGGAATTTTCTATCCCCACTTCAATATCCACTTGCAAAGTGCTTTCAGCCACTGCCCTGAAATGAAAGAGGAGGAATCATTGGTACATCTATTCATTTATCCAACAAGTATTTTACAGGTGCAAGAGTGGGCACTAGGGATACAACCATAACAAGATACAGTCCCTGCCTTCCAGGTGCTTACAGGCTGGAGGGGGACAGCTTCCAGCCAAGGAAAGGGTAACTCCTAGGTATCTGGGTTGGGTAGTTGTGTTAATGCTCACACCACCCACCACTGAGACTGGAAATGCAGCAGGACGTGCTAGGTGTGAAGTACCTGTGGGACTACAAGTATATGTATTCAGAAGAGAGCTGAGTTTATGAGCCAAGAGCTCAGGAGAGACAGTGGGGCAAGAGATATAAATCCAGCAGTTGAAGACGTAGGCACTGATTGCCTAGGATGTGGGCCAAGAACAGAACCCTGGATAATTCTGTTGTATAAAGCATGGCCTTCTATTTCTCTTCTATGTCCTTCCATTTAAAGACATGCTGACAACACTTGGAGATATTATTGGGTAAATATCTCTAGAAAAAGAATAGTAAGGGGGCACCTGGCTGGCTCAGCTGGTAGAACACATGACTCTTGACCTCGGGGTTGTAGGTTCAAGCCCCATGTTGGGTGTAGAGATTACTTAAAATATTTAAAAGAAAAGAAAACAGTAAGTTCAACCAGTGAGAAAAATATATTTGTTTATTTTTAAGATTTTATTTATTTATTTAGAGAGCATGTGAGCAGGGTGAGGGGCAGAGGGAGAGGGGGAGAGAGAGAGAGAGAGAATCTCAAGCAGACTCTACACTGAGCATGGAGCCTAACAAGGGGCTCGATCCCACGACCCTGAGATCATGACCTGAGCTGAAATCAAGTCGGATGCTTAACCGACTGAGCCACCCAGGTGCCCCAAGAAAAATATATTTAAATTATAGATGGTCCCTGGGGCGCCTGGGTGGCTCAGTCGTTAAACGTCTGCCTTCAACTCAGGTCATGATCCCAGGGTCCTGGGATCGAGCCCCACATCGGGCTCCCTGCTCAGCAGAGAGCCTGCTTCTCCCTCTCCCACTCCCCCTGCTGTGTTCCCTCTCTCGCTGTCTCTCTCTCTGTCAAAATAAATAAATAAAATCTTTAAAAAAAAATAAATTATAGATGGTCCCTGGCTTCCAATGGTTTAACTTGTGATTTTTTCAACTTTATGATGGTGCAAAAGCAATACACATTGAGTAGAAATGATACTTTGGGTTTTGGATTTTGATCTTCTCCCGGGCTAGCAATATGCAATCCTACACTCTCGTGATGCAGGTCAGTGGCAGCCAGTCAGCCACACAGTCAGGAGGATGAACAACCGATACACTTAACAACCATCTAGTTCTCACTTCCAGTAGTATTCAATACATTACACAAGCTATTCCACACTTTATCATAAAATAGGCTTTGTGTTTGATGACTTTGCCCAACTGTAGGCCAATGTAAGTGTTCTGAGCCATGTTTAAGGTAGGCCAGGCTGAGCTATTAACAGTCGGTAGATTAGGTGTATTAAATGCATTTTTTTGACTTACAGTATTTTCAGTTCATGATGTGTTTATCAGGACACAACCCCATCATAAGTTGAGAAAGATCTGTAGCTGATTCCATCTCTCTTCATGGGAACAGGTTGAGGAAAGGCTATAGCAGATGGACCTGCACATAAGTAAAGATAATTTATAACAACATTGTTTGTAAGAGCAACCCCATCCTATTGGGATTTTTATGGAGGTTCCATCATGTAGGCACGATCAATTATTAAGTCCATTTCTAGCCCCTCTCCCCTCTCTGGAGGATGGTGAGTGGGGCTGAAAATTCTAAGCTTCTAATCAAGACTTGGTCTTTCTGGTAACCAGCCTCCATCCAGGAGCCCATCCAGAGTCACCTCACCAGAACAAAAGATGCTCCTAAGTGCTCTTATCACTTCAGAAATTACAAGGGTTTGAGCTCTGTGCCAGGAACATGGGACTGAGACCAATATGTGCTTTTCTATTATGTCATATCCAGTGTTGGTATAAAAGAAATTCCTAGTTATTTCAACCAGATTATCAGATGCTTTAGATCAAGATCCAAGACTGTCAGATTTATACCCTTTATGTAACTTCCCCATGTTTTCCCCTTAAATCTTATCTTTTCTCTTGTAATGATGGACATTAAAGCCTTAAAATGAAGAGGGTCTGCACACTTGTTTTCAGAGACAGAAAGAAAGGGTGGATGTAAGGAGACCATCTTCCCAGAGCTGATCTTGGAGGGAAGAAAAACCCAATAGTCTTGGTGACAATTACCAAGGGGGATGGGGGTATGGGGTGAATCCCTGCAACCTGCCTTGGCTAAAAAAAGGAGAGCTTGAGAGGAGCCTGCCTCAGCATGTGAACTTCCCCCCCACCACCCAGGGGGACTTAGGGGAAAGGGTTCTTCAAATGCAGTGATAAATCAGCTTTGCAGAGTAATAGGATTAAATTCGAAACTGTTACAGGTGAGGTGTGACTAGCCCATTCTTGTATCCCAGAGAGCTAGGCCTTTTCTTCATTTAACAGGTATTATTCTATTTTCATTGTTACTAAAATAGCACAAAGGAACACCTCTATTTGTTCTTTTACCTTATGTTGATCTTAGAATAACACCGAAAATGATTACTGTGCGTTGATCTTCAAACTACACTGGAAGCTTTAAAGGAGGGAAGATTATTTGCTCCCATTTCTTCCCCTTTTTCCTCTCCAGTTCTAACAACTTGCTACATTTAATCCCAGCTTAGCCTCCTTTTTCCTAGAAAAATCATCAACAAACATGTATAGGCGGGCACCCGTAGATTTACTGAAGTATAAGATTCCAGCTTTGCTCTCAGGGCATTTGCAGTCTTGCCAGGATTACAGTCAGGAGCAAATACTAATGTCCAAGAATCTATGTTCAATGCAAAGTCAGAGGACTCGGTAATAATGGCTTCAAGAATCCAGCTGAGGCAGAAATCCCTGAGGGTCAGGGCACCTGGGTGGCTCAGTCGGTTAAGCGTCTGCCTTTGGGTCAGGTCATGATCCCAGGGTCCTGGGATTGAGTCCCACGTTGGGCTCCTTGCTCAGCGTGGAGTCTGTCCTCCCTCTCCCTCTGCCCCTCTCCTGGCTTGTGCGCTCTCTCTCTCTCTTGCTCTCTCTCAAATAAAATCTTTTTAAAAATTAAAAAAAAAAAAAAAGAAAGAAATCCCTGAGGGTCAAGACACTCAAGCTTCTTGGAGAAGATGGACCTTGAAGGACAGGTTAGATTTAGAGAAGGAATAGACCATGTGAGGCTGGTGTAGGGTGTGAGGCAAGACTAGGGGGCATCTTTGTGGAATAACGAGGGACCCAGTTCGCTGGACAAGAGGACAGGAGACAGCAACAATTGGCTGAAGCAGTTTCTGATTCATTGAAAGTCTCAAGTAGGATTTCCCCAGATTAATAGAAGCCCTGTGTGTGGCGAACATATCCGGCAGAGCATGAGAGGGATGTAACAAAGGATCTGACGGCTGGGACATGCTGGCTGAATAGGGAGTCGTGGCACTGGGATTGTGTTCAGGGAAGGAGACAGGGTCTGCATATCTGCCCCATCTCCATCTGACTCTCTGCACAGTAGGGGCCAACATAAGAGGGAACTTACGAGAGTCCATCGCTTGTGCTCCCTGCAAGCTCAGCTCGTGTTCTTTCTTTCTCTTGTTCTCTCCATCTCTCCCTCTCCCCTTTCCTGCTCACGGCCAGATGTCCAGGAGAAATCCTTTCTCACTGTGAGTTTTGGTTGGAATGTCAACCTGTGACATTTGCCTTTTTAGAGCAAATGTGTGCATGCACAGATTAGTAGTGAGTGTAAAATATGGGAACTCTACCAGTACTCACTTGGCCTGGGAGCCTCACGTCTCCAGACCTGGCTCTGACACTTTTTTGCTCTGTGAACTCGGGCTGGCACGTAAACGGCCTGTCCTTCGGTTTTGTTGATTTGTAAAAGGGAGATGCTAATACCTCCCTACCTACCTTGCGGAATTTTCTTGAGGTTCAAATGAAATTATGGTCGTGAGAGCACTTTGGAGACTAACCAGACTGATTCTTAGCTCAAGGTGAAGATTGCATGGGGGTTAGGGGTGGTGAAGTTGGGAAGTCTCAATAAATCCCACCCAGCCCTATGATGTGAGAGAGCTGTTTTGCATCATTAAAATGGGTTTAGTTATATAGCTTCCTCTCTGCTCTTTCAGTGGCTCTCACTGGAATGATGTCTTTTTCCTCCCTAGATATCCCTAAATGCAGAACCCAGCGCCCCTCTCCAAGTTCCCGCTCATCTCGCCTGGTCTCCTCATCGGTGGGCCGGGCTCCCGGCCACCAAAGCAGCCACGAAAATCCTCACGCAACATCTTCAGAGGCCCTCTGGGCTTCAGGCATTACCCAGCCAGGCTCCAGATCCGAAGTCAATTTAAAAATGTGAAAGGATTTTGATAGAAATGACAAGGTGCTCTACACATTGGAGAGTTGGATGTTACTTGGGTCCTCTCTTAGAAACTTTCAGCTTAGGTACCTACTTGGGACAGGGAGTTCTACAGTATTTCAGTCAAAGGTATTCATGGCCTAAGTGCTGACGTAGTTACAAACTTAGATACAAATATGAGGCTAGATACCATGGGGTTGATAAAGGGACACGGGATAGCAACAGTGGTAATATTGGGTGTGTGGGGCAGGGTCCCAGAAAGATGCAGACAGCACACTCCCAAGGCTACTTGAGCAGTTTAATGATGGGGCTGTTTACCATGGTGTCTCTTTGGCTAGAGCTGCCATCACAAAGTACCACTGTTCCAGCAGCCATAAGAAAAATACCAGAGATGGGTGGCTTTTAAACAACAGGCATTTATTTTCTCACAGTTCTGGTGGCTGGGAACTCTAAGATCAAGATGTTGGCAGGGTTGGTTACTTCCGAGGCCTCTCTCCTTGGCTTGTGGGTGGCCACCTTCTCCTCGTGTCTTCACATGGTCTTCTTTCTGGGTGGGTCTGTGTCCTCATCTCTTCTTATTATAAGGATACAAGTCAGATAAGATTAGGGCCCACCCATATGACCTCATTTAACCTTAATTACCTCTTTGAAGACCCTATCTCCAAAGACAGTCACTGTTTTGAGGTCCTGGGGGTTAAGGCTTCAATATAGGAATCTGAGTGGGGGGTTGGGGTGCTGGGACACAATTCAGCCCACAACAACACTGTAGGGAGGGTTAAGAGAATCAAGATGAGATGGTGAAGCACCTAGGAACTAGCAACAGTGGAAGCCTTTGTTATCCTGTGGCATGAAGAGGCAGAAAGGAAAGGGCCTGTTGTTCCTAGAACCCAGTGAGACCTGTAGCCACAGAGAGGGGCTCCCCAACAGGATGTATGCTCGGTGGTGGAGGAACACAGTCACTGTAGATAACAAGGCCTAGCAGGGAAGGAAGAGGGAGAAGCCCTCTCTCTCCCCACCCCTCCACACTCCAACAGCACTTGGTTTTGGTCAGACCCATCCAGAAGTCAGAGAACGAAGACGACTGGGGAGAAACATGGCCAGGAGTGGGTGGGAGGGGTATTATATGAGTGGGACAGTGAGGAATAACCAGCACAATGGGGGCAATGTAAAAATGTCCAAAGAAGGAATTATAATTGATTTTTAAGCAATGTAAATGGGCTTCAAAGAGTCATGGGAAAGCAGAAAAGGTTACCTGGCTGCAAAAATATTAGTCATACATTCTAAACTAAACCACCTACTCATGTAACCATTTCAAGGTCTCAGAAGTTAACCATTCTAGGATACTTAGTTACCTAAGTAAAGCAGAATGATAGAAAACCAAATGTTTGTCAGTCATGTAATGTTGAACACTCATGTTCTTGTATTCCATACTGTAACATACATATACATAGTTGTTTTTGAATGGTTCAAGATGGTGGCCTGGAAGGATGGCCCAGGATACAGTGGTTTGGATGCCCAAATGATTGGTATAGGACGAAACAGAACCAACTTACAATTGATTAGTTTGCACCACCCAAGGTGATACTAACATATGACTCTGAGGCAGAGAATTAAAAAAAAAAACAAAACACCCAGGATGAGACCTGGTGTTCTTCCCATGGGCAGAGCAGATGGCTATCTGTTAAGATTTCCTCTTCCTGAAGGCGGAGCCCTCATTGTCAGCCCTCAGGAGCCAAGGGCAGCTATGCACCTGGGGTGGCCTACAGCTCCACGATTCTGCCCTGCTTTGCCCCCTGGATTATGTCCGGATCCAGTCACGTTGTGGGCCAGTATTTGAAGGGACCGGTCTGGAGTGTGTCCCTGTCTCTTCTGAAATAAACCAGAATCTTCTGGGGCAAGGACATATCAAGAGAAAGAAGGGCTCGTCTAGTACAAGTGGCTACATCTTGTCTCAACAAGCTGTATTTGGGTTATCTATTCCTATAAAACAAACCAGCCCCAAACTTGGTTGTTTACAGCAACAGTCTGTTATTCTCGTCATAAATCTGCAGCTTGGGAGGGGCCTGGGGAAGAGCTTAGCTCTGATCCACACATCCGCCTCTGGGTCCTTCCAATAGAGGGCTGGAAGATCCAATTCCAAGATGGTGTAGGGACATGGCTGGGAAGTGCATGCAAGCCTTTCACTGGGTGTTCAGCCAGGGCTGAGGGCAGGGGTCCCTGTTCCTCTTCATTTGGGCTGGGGTTCTTGTAGCATGGGGACTGGGTTCTAAGGATGAGCATCCCAAGAGAGAGACAGGTGGACTCTGAATCACCTCTTTTGTCCTAACCTCGCAAGTCTCATAGTGTCACTCCACTATGCTCTGGTGACGAGTTTCAAGAAGAGCAGGCAGAGACTTGGGAGAGTTGCAAGGTTCTGGAAGAACATGTGGGATGGGAAATATAATTGGGGCCATTTTAGAATAGACTGTCTGCCTCAGGATGGTTCCTTGTGTGACCCTTAGTCATCATTGGTCACACCACAGGCCGGGTGGCTTAAACAATAGACATTTATTTCTCACAGCTCTGGAGGCTGGAAGTCTGAGATCAAGGTGTTGGCGGGTTGGCATCTGGTGAGACCTTTCCTTTGGGGTTGGCTTTTCTTTGTGTGCTCACATGGCCTCTCCTTGGTACCTGTGTGTGTGGGAGGGGTTTTCCCTGGTGTGTCTTCTTATAAGAACACCAATCCTATCAGATCAGGACGCCACCCTTATGGCCTAATTTAACCTTCCTTCCTTCCTTAGTGGCCTCATCTCCAAATACAGTCATTCTAGGGGTTCAACGTATGAATTTGCGTGGGGACACAAGCATTCGATCCATAACATTTCCCCATATTGATATGAATTAGATGATAATTGAGAAAGATAAATTTATATTGCTATTCCTTAATTCAAGAAAACTAACGAACTCCAACCTTGTGCCAGACTCTCTGCTAGGCTCTGGGAATATAGGTAGGAGGAAAAAAACTTCCTGCCTTTAATGGGTTTATAACCACGGGGGAGACAAAGCAGCCATTAAAATAGAGCAGGGGCTGCAAGGAGCACCGGCTGTGACAGCTTTGGGAGGGGACAGATAAATCCCTCCATCTGGAGCTGCACAGGGGATGGCCAAGCAGAAATAGAGGATGAGTGGTACTGAGGAGTCAGTAGGAGGCGGGACAGTTGAGGGGAAGCATTCGGGAGAAAGGAACAGAGCACGCGGAGACCCAAGGCAAAACTAGGGTGACCGCCATCCTGGTTTGCCCAGGGCTGGCCTGCTCTTAGCACTAAAGTCCCGCATCCAGGAACCCCTCAGTCACTGTGCCTTGTCCACGGCCCTGGAGATAGTCCAGCATAGCAGGGTTGGTGAGAGAGAAAGCTGAAAACGTGGGCAGGAGTCCAAATTTAGGGACCAAGGCACACTAAGGAGTTTAGACTTTATCTTGAGAGAAGTTGAGCAATCAAGAAGTGATCTTATCCAGGGGAGTGACTGGCTAAGACTTGGATATAGGAAGAGCTCTATCTGCTGGATAATTAAGAAGAGGGACAATTCTGCAGGGCCGGTCAGGGAGCCATTGCAGACTTCCAGGGACAAGAAATAATGCAGGGGGATGGAGAGAACCGTAGGATTTAGAATAACTTAAGGAGAAGTAACAGAACTTGGAAATACAGATGGGGGGGGTGGCGGTTGGTGAGAGACCAGGAGAATTCAAGAATGGCTCCCTGGTTTCTGGCTTGGGCAACTGCAAAAAGTCTTAGGAAGTAATTTGGATGGTTTGGAAAGACCTTCCCCACACCACCCTACACAAGAATACCAACAAAGCAGCTGTTCTGCCTCCCATACAGCTCTTGTTTGACCTAGAAATTCTCAGTTATTGCACCACTGACCCAGAAGTCTCAGCCACAGCCACTAGACTTATAGGAACAGAAGGCGGCTGGGGGCAAGAGAGGGAAGAAGACAGGCATTTATTACACTTGATACTTGCTAAACAATTTATGTCCTCTATCTTATTTAATTTTGGCAAGAATCCTTTGAGGCAGGCATGTTGTCATCCTCATTTCATAGCTGCAGAATTGGGGACAAAGTGATGGGGCGCCAGTGGCCACAGCCACAAGCAGGCAGAGCTGGGCTTTAAACTTAGATGTGTTTGATCATAAAGAACTGTTTTTGTTGTTGTTTTTATTGTTGTTGTTTGTTTTTTTGTTTTTTACGCCACGCTGTTTCCCTGATGAGCACTAGTTTCTACCTGATTGGACATTCTGCACGTCTACTACCATACCTTGACTCCATCTCCATTCAGCATTGAAGGGTGAAGACCAAGGCAAGGACTCCACCCACTCTGACAAGGCAGCTGAAGGTTGTTTCCAGGAGCAAGAATGACGAGAGAGCTTCTTAATCCTTTGTAACTGGTCCCTGCACTTGTTATACATGCAAAAACCGTAAAGCCAGGGGACCTACGTAATTATCTTTGGGAGCATCAGGGCTAGGAGAAGCTATGGAGACAGTGGCCCAGTCAACAGCCAATTTAGGGAAGGAGGAAGTGTCGGGAGATGAAAGTCAAGAGGGAGGGAGCTAGGGGAAGGACACAAAAGGGAAGAAAGGAACGCGTGATGAGTTTCCAGGGCCTCCCTCCAAAAGATAGGTGAGTTTGTCTAAACCTTACAAGGGGGGTGCCTGGGTGGCTCAGTCGTTAAGCATCTGCCTTCGGCTCAGGTCATGATCGCAGGGTCCTGGGATCGAGCCCCGCATCGGGCTCTCTGCTCGGCGGAAAGACTGCTTCTCCCTCTCCCACTCCCCCTGCTTGTGTTCTCTCTGTCGAATAAATAAATAAAATCTTTAAAAAAAAAAAACCTTACAAGGGCCTCTGGAAACCTAACGGCGGGACGCCTGTACCCCTACATGGGAGGCTGTCCTCCCAGCTCCAGGGACACCCTGGAGCCTCAAGAGAAACTCCAGTGCCAACCCCAGCTCCTTCTTAACCAGCGAGGTTTACATTTTGATATGAATCTTGGCTTATCTCCTGCGAGGTCTTAATCGTTCTGTATTCATGTAGTAATCTATCCATTTTGCTTCTAGTCTTCTATTGTTATTTCTGCATATATTTTACTCTCCCCAACCCCCCACCCGCCTTCTGGATTGGGAACTCTTCAGAGGATCCCAGTTTCATTCACTCTGTATTTCCACATTTTCTTTTATGCAGGAGGGGCATAACTGGAGTTTGACTGATGTCACTGAAATGTCGTCAGACGGTGTGATAATGTTCATTTCTCAGCCGGCTTTATCCACTGACACTGACAGAGAGTGGACACAAGAGGGCGCTCCTTCCCCACTATCTCAGTCCAGGGAGCTGCTCCTTTTCTGCCCATTCCAGTCTCTTGAAAATTTAGACATGACTGACATCGGGGCAAACATATTTTTGCTACTATTGGGGAGAGGTTCGGGGCAATTTTGAATATT